GGCTGCGGCCCGCCCGGCTACGTGGCCCTGTGAGGGGCGGCGGCTGGGCCCACCTGCCACCTGGCTGTCTGTTTCCAGAGACGTTTCCAAGCCCTCACTCGCAAGGAGGGCCCAGCAGGCGACTGCCTTCTCCTCTTGCGTCACTCCCCACCTCTGTCCATTGTCCCCCCGCATGGTGGTCCCGGCCTAGGCGCCCTCCTCGGCGCTGCCATCACCACTGGCGGCGCTGACTTGTGCAGACGTGGAGCTGTCACTGCCCTTCCTCCTGAGAGTGTCCTTTTCTTTAACAGAGAAAAGCTAAAAGTAGCTGTGAACTATTTCAGTGTCCAAACATGATGAGGACATGTCTTGTAAGTGGAGAACTCAAGTTTTCATACTTGGTTCCGCGGCCTTGACTTAAAGAGAGGAAAACACGGGTCATTGCATGAGGTAGACATTGGGCCTACAGTTGGTTGGAAATGTTGACTAGGTGAACTTGCTTCGTACCCTAAATTCACAAATTCCCAGTAACTCATCTGATTTTCTTGGCTGTGTTTGTATCCTAATCTTGTTGCATTTCCCATCACTGTTTAATAGCTTCAGTAAACTTGTTTTGAAGTGGGAGTGGGGAAGAAGAGTGAGATTTTTTTTTCTTTGAAAATTAGAGAACACAAGCCAGCCACCTTATTGAATTTAAGTAGGCTCTTCTGCACCTATTTGTAACAGAATTCCATCTTCGGAAGTATTAAAGGCTTTGTATTTCCACCCTCAAAATTGGCAAGAGACTTGGTTTTCATCTGAAATAAAGTTCTCATGGCCAATCTGGTGAGAACCTGTACTATGTAGTCAAAGGTTTACTCCAGGCATTGTTCTTTTATCTTTCAGATTTAGAAATGAAGGTGGAAATTCTCTTTTTGAACAGTTAACATTACTTTTTTGGGAGTATAAGTCCAAAAGTAATTAATTTGCAGCATAAGTGAATGAGTGTAATATAAAATAAAAAGTGATTTATAGAGTACTTTTTCATTATATTATGTAAATTTCTACCTCTTTGGGGAGGGTATGATTAGGGTCTTGCCATGTAGCCCAGGCCTGGTTTAAACTCTGGATCTTCCTGCCAGAAGATCTGAGTGCTGGGATTACAGACAGGTACTATGTACTCAGTTTCTTATACTTATTAGGAGAGAGACAATTTTATAGTTCACAAATTTGACTATTAAGACAATAAGAACTGTTTAAAAGTAGAAGTTGCAGGCAGGATCTCATTTCTGGGATTGATTAGTCAGTCTGTATTGGCTGCTACCAATTTATCTTTAAAACATGCTTCATGCCGGGGATTTAGCTCAGCGGTTCACAAGGACCGGAGTTCAATCCCTGGTACCAAAAAATACCAAAAAAACAAACAAACAAAAAAAACATGCTTCAGATAATTCTGATGGTCTTGGGAACCACGGAGGCAAAAACAGTGTGGTGGATATACCAAGGACAGTTTACAAAGGTCTGAGACAGAGAGGAGGAAGTAGCCAGTCCTCTTTGTGGGTTGGTCAGAGGAAGAGGCAGGACTTGCCTATGGATGAGAAGTTTGATTTTAGATGATGAGTTGAAATGTCACAGAGGTGTGGAAAGGGAAGGGCAGAGTAGTCAGAAGAAACACTTTAATGCCCTTGCTATGTATGAATTCAGAGGATTGTGGGAGGGAAGGAGTTCAGGGAGTACAGTGGAAAAGTAAACTATTATGGAACATGAGTTTTCAGTTTAATGCTAAAATTTTAATATTTTATGTTGTTAGATACAGATGTGATGTGAGGACATATGTGTTTTAGAAAGATGGCTCTGATAATAAGAATGAAAGGGCAGAAGAGTGACCATTGCAGAATTCTTGGTGAAAAGTAACAAAGCCTGACCTTGGGTATAGGATGATCAAAGGGTTGGATGTATCTTTTTATTTATTTATTTAATTTTAATTTTACTTTTTTTGGTACTGGAGATCCAACTCAGGTCCTTGTGCTTGTGAGGCGGTAGTGGAACTACTGAGCTAAATCCCCGGCCCTGGGTGTATCTTTTTAATAGTGCAATTGTATTGTCATATTTTGGGATGTGGATGGGGGGGCTTTTCTGGGTAAATGGCTTTTCTATCAAAAATAGCAAGCCTAAATTAATATTTTCAGATTATATATGTTTATAGTAGCAGAGTGAATTATTCTTTACCATCTTTAAGAAATTAGAATGAAACGGGTCAAGTGCAGTTTGGAAGAGAACTTGGGAATTTGTTCTGAAATTCATGATGTTAATAAGTATTGATTTAGGCTTGTTAGAAATATGTTCATCTAGCCCATAGAAACTTAGTATTTGAGTTTTAGAGTAAATGAATTTTGGCTTGTAGGCCAACTGATTGGAAAAGCTGCTGGAAACACTGTCTTAAGAAAGTTTCTAGTTATGTGTTCTGTAGGAAAGTGTATATGATGCATTTGTGGACAGTCCTCCAGTGGATAGTAATACCTCAAGTGGCAGGTGTAGGTGCTATATACTTGCTGGTTATACACTGTTAGACACGGCTGACTTTTTTTTTTTTTTTTTTGGTACTAGGGATTGAACTCGGTCCTTGTGCTTGCTAGGCAGGCACCAGAACCACTGAGCTAAATCCCTGGGCCCCAACCTTTTAGTTTTCTGTTTATTTAAAAAGAAAAAGATTGGCTCAGTATGATAGCACACACTTGTAGTCCTAGCTAGTATGGAGGCTGAAACAGGAGGATCCCAAGTTTGAAGCCAACATGATTTTGATGATGCCCTAAGTTTAATCCCTATTACTGTAGTGGGAAAGCACATTATAGAAAATAACCAGGGTGAGGGTGGGTGGGAAGAGTATTTTATGTGTAAAACTACTTAAAGAGTTAGAGCGAGAATTAGAACCAGTCAAGTTACCAAAGTGAATATGTACTATTAAAGAACTGATTCTAGAGCAGGGGAAAAATGTTAACAGTATTTCCAGCTGGTGCCTCTTGACTGTTTAGGTAAAATTTTTTTTGTACGGGACATCAAACTCAGGACCTTGCACTTGCAGGGCAGGCAGCGGCACCACTGAGCTAAATCCCCAGCCTGTCTGTTCTTGTTTAAGAAATTTGTATTAAGCAGGGCATGGGACTCATCCCTGTAGTCTCATCATTTTGGGAAGCTGAGGCAGGAGGATAGCAAGTTCTAGCCCAGCCTGGGCAACTTAGACTCTATCTCAAAAAAAAAAAAAAAAAAAAAAAAAAAAAGACTTGGGATGTTGGGATGTAGTCAGTGTGAAGGATCTGGGTTCAGTCCCCAGTACTGAAAAGTTTTTTTTTTTTTCCTAATGTGTGTTAATATTGATAGAAAATAGCCACCCCTCTCCACTACTTTCTTTCTTGTTCCTTATTCTTTTCAGTTTTGTGTTTGGGGGTTGGTTTTATTGATATGAATTAAGGCAAAAGTATACTTTTTGTGTGTGTATGTGTATTTGCAGTACTTAGTTAAATTCTGAGCTCGTAATAACTAGTAAAGCCATGTTTATTTTTGTGGCTGTACATGACACTGGTTTTGAGTCAGTACTGTATAAATCAGTAAGGGGTGTCACCAAACTGAATTGCAGTCCTCTCTAGGTCAGCTAAAAATGTTAGGTTGGAAACTATCCTCATAATTAGAGACAGTTAACTAGAAGCTCTTCTGCCCCTGTCCTCCTCCAGGCTATCAGGCATTGTCCTTGGAAAACTGCCACCAGCTCAACTCTTTTCAGAACTGATTATACCCAGAACCTTGGAGTGCTTTTTCTTTTCCTAAGAACCTGCAGGGAATGTCATTAGAGTGACCTGTATAGGCAGAATGTATGTTCATCTGGCTATCCTCAATTTGCCACATGTCCATCATACCCAGGTGGTAATCACCCCATACTGTATATGAATCATTTCCCCTTAATTTGCTTCTCTTCTATCTTGCCTGCTCTTCAAAAATTATCCCATGATAATCTTTCTTTTTTGATACTGAGGATTGAACTTGGGACCTTCCACTTTCGAGGCAGGTGGCAGAACTGCTGAGCTAAATCCCTGGCCTATCCCATGATAATCTTTTTTAAAGACTTTATACTGGGGGGAAAAAAACCAAACCAAAGCTTGTTCTGTAAGATTCCCAAGGCTGTTGCAGACTAATGTGTTTAACCATAGGGAAACTATGTTAATGGACCCTCTTTCCCTTCCCAGGTAACATGTATTTCACAGTGGCCTTCTGGAGACAGCGCCTTAACCCAAAGAAGTGACTTGAACGGTGAGAACTTCAGGTATGGTTACATTCCTCTGAGACAGATTTGGGGATAGGATGGTGCAGAGGGCAAGCCCTGGTCATATAACTGCTGTGCGGAGGTATATAAAGAGAGTAATGTTGTGCATATGGATACATACATGTATGTTTGTGTGTGTCTATGTGTGTGTGTGTGTGTGTGTGTGTGTGTGTGTGTGTATGTATATGGAATATTGCCCGACAGTATAAAAGGGAAATATATACACACATATACATATATATACACATATATGTATGTATGTATGTATGTGTGTCTATATATATGTGTATGTATGTATGTATATGGAATATTACCCAACAGTATAAAAGGGAAATTTGGCTGTTGGGACAGTATGGTTGAATCTGAAAGAGTATCCTAAGTAAAGATGTGATCATACTTGTGGAATCAAGAAAAACTCACAGAAATGGAGAGAAAGGTGGTTATCAAGGGTGTGAGAAAGGGAGAATGGGGAAAGAGATATTGGTCAGAGGATATAAACTTAAAGTTACAGGATGAGTGATTGTGGTAAATAACCAACTCAATGAGATCCTCCCAGAAAAAGGCTAGGGATGTAACTCATTGTGGAAGCTCATGGTTTGTTTAGTCCCTGTACTACACTCCATCCCAATTCTGGATCCCTAATGTATGAGAAGATAGCTATAGTTGATAGTCATGTATACTTGAAATTCACTAAGAGTAGATTATAAGCATTCACACTACAAAAAAACATAACTACAGTGATGGATATGGTAAAAAGGAATTTATCACATTTCACATAGGATACATATATCAAAGCATCACATACACCTTGAGTATATAGAATTTTAATTTGTCAATTACACCTCAGTAAAGTGGGGGGGTGGGAGAGGAATTTTTTTAAAAAGGAAGAATGGTCCATTTACCTAACCCTAACCTTGAGACTATCATTGTCATCACCTCCTCTTTTGACATACCCGTTCATACTTAGATTCTTGTTATTACTATAATATTATTATTATTATTTTTTTGGTACCGGGGATTCAACTCGAGTCCTTGCGCTTGCAAGGCAGGCCTCCGAACCGCTGAGCTAAATCCCCGGCTATAATATTAATTTTTACTATTCATCTTTAGGAACTTTGTATCTATATTTTTGTTAGCTAATTGCTCTATAAATACTTGAGACAACCTATGATTTGCTTATTACAATCCAAAGAATGCTTAAAAAATTTTTTTAAATTATGGAGATAAGATGAGATGGTGGGGTGATTTGTGAGAGATGCTAGAAAGAAAGTGGGTAAGAGGGAAAATTAAATGAGATGGTAAGAACAAGAAATCTGAAGTGACAAAAAATAAGACATGGAAGTGAAAATGTAGAGAAAAAAGGAAAAGGAGATGGTGTTATTGGCAATAAACAAAAAGCTCTCATTTCTTTTTTCCTTTCTTTTTGATATTGAGGGTATTGAAGTATCATTCCAGCCTTTAAAAAATTTTTTTAAAAATTTATTTTATTTATCTAAAAAATCTTTTTTTTTGGTATCAGGGATTGAACTCGGGCCCTTGTACTTGTGAGGCAGGTAGTGGAACCACTGAGCCAAACCCCCGGCCCTATTTTTAAATTTTTTAACGTTTATTTTGCTTTTTTTTTTTTGTTCTGGCAGAATATTTGTCTATGTTTTGCTCATGTCTTAAGGCTTTGCAGAAAGCTGATATTAAGGATGACTAATAAATCAGGTGGAGAAAATTTCAAGGCAACTTAATATTTAGGCTGCAGTTGGATACTGCTTTGTGTTTTTAACAAGGTTGAAATTGAGAAACAGGAATGAAAAGTCCATTTAAAAAGTTTTCAGTGGGCTGGGGATTTATCTCAGCACTGCCTTGTCTGCCTCACAAACGCAAGGTCCTGAGTTTGATCTGTGGTATTAAAAAAAAAAAAAAAAAAAAAAAGTTTTCAGTTTCCAAAGAAAGAAAGAGCCTGCACCTGGGAGAGCAGGATTGCTGAAAAGACAAAAAAGAAGCTAAATACTTGGTATTGGGACAATAGGAAGATGACTTTAGGGCATCCTGGGAAAAGACCCACCCTACACCCTACAAAAATGAAAGACTGCTTTGACAAGAGGGAGCCAATGCACTGTACTCTTTTCTAGGGTGAAGAGGGAAATGTTTCCCAGAGTTCAGCCACCTAGGCATTCAAAGGCCCCTGCGGCCATGATCCATGAGGGCCCTGCTATGGCTTGAGCTGGCAGCATACCTTGGTATCATCTATGTGTTACTGGTTTTACAGGAATGCTGGATCCAAGAGTTATGGGATCAAGGAGGCTTCCATCCAGACTTAAGATGAAGGCCTGGGAGTCTAGGCAGTGTGGCCCTGAGAGGGCAGTATGTGAAGTTATGAGAGTAAAACTAAAAGTGCAGAGAGACCCCAGAAAAGTAGAGAAGCCAAGAACATGGAGTGTCTGAGGAAAGCTGCAAGGAGTGGCTAAAGCTAGCCCAAGAGAGAAGCCACGAAGGCTACAAACATCAGGAATCCTATAGGGATGGGGCTACTCAAATCTTTTAGAATTTATATCGTCGTACCTTGCCATAGATGCTGGACATGGAGCTACAGGATTTAATGTTTGGCCTGCTGGGTTTTGGTCTTGCTTCAGTCCCATTGGTTTTTATCCTCCTGTCCCCACCCCCCTAGAAAGGGAATGTTGATATCTTGTGCCTTTGTATGTCAACAATGTTAAACTTTCTTTTGATTTTACAGGGGCTCCCAGCTAAGAGTTTCCCTTAAGTCTCAGAAGGCTTTGAACTTGGACTTTTTAGCAATGTTAAACTGTTAGGACTTCAGCAGTTCTTAGAGATATACTGTATACATTTTGTGTAGATACACGAGTCTTTGAGGGGCCAGGGGTGGAATGTTATGGTATAGGTCAAGAGTGTCTTCTCAAATCCTCTTGCTCCTGTTGGGGCCTTTGGAAAGGTGAATAAATTGTGGGGGTGCTATGCCTGACTTGATGTTAGGAGGTTGGGCTAGGGATTAAGGGAGGCAGTTCGATGGGAATGTGACCTGTAAGAGTGTGTCTTCTGTCTAGCTCCTTCCTTAACACTCTTCTTCTTGGCTGCCATGATATGAGCAGCTTTCTTTTGTCAGATACTGTGCAATGCCTTCCTGCCTTGGAGCTAGTCAACTATAGACTAAAACATGAACCTAAAGAAGCCAGCGATTTAGCTCAGTGGTTCCGCTGCCTGTCTTGCAAACGCAAGGTCCTGAGTTCAATCCCCGTACCAAAAAAAAAAAAAAGTAATAAAAGCAACAAATATATAAGTTTAAAAAAAAAGAAAAAGAAACCTCTCCTTGTTTAAGTTCCATGTGCTGAATATTTTGTCCCAGCTATAAGGAAATTGATAAAGACATACATGGAAGCAAGTGGATAAGCTAGGAGGATCACAAGTTTGAGGCAAGGTTAAGTAATTTAGTGAGACCACCCTGCATCCCAAAAATAAAAAGACTTGGAGTTTATTTCAGTCAGTAGCAGAGGCTGGCCTCATACAGTGGACCCTGGACTTAGGAACTGAATTTGTTTGAGAGGGCTGGTTGTAATTTAAGTTGGTTAGGCTCCTCTACACAGCCTTCAAAGTCTCCTGTATAATTTTAGGCCACACTTTTCCAGGCAGATCTCAGGTCCTTAGACACTGGCCCAGGATTTCTCAACCCCACACAGGAAAGGATGTTGCAGTGTTCCTTCCAGGACTTTTTAAGGGTTAAATCTATACCTGGAAGCAGGAGCAGCTGGCATTTAGTCTTAACTCAAGACTTTGGTCATAGTTAAAACTAAAATTCTGGTTGTAACCCAAGTTGTTTGTAACCCAGGCTGGTTGTAACTCGAAGGTCCACTGTACTCTTGAGGCCCTGTCCCTGCATTAATTCCCAGGTACCACCAAAAAAGAAGAGAGGTTAAAAAAAAATCACATTTAAAAATTCACCACTTTAAGGAACACAACTCAGTGTTGATCACTCTTGGTCTAAGGGGTGAGTACGGATCACATGTGACCTGAATACCATTTTTTTCCTAAAGAAAACTGAATATCCAGATTTTGTAAAAAATTCTTCATTTTAAATGTTTGCAACTTATGAATTGATAGTATAAACACTGTGGTACAAACAAATCACTACTGTGTGCGGAGTTTGTCCTGTGGGCTGCCACTTTGCAACCTCTGATCTGGGCTTGTTTTTCTTGCGTCATAACCCATGTTCTCTGCCCTCTGGGAAAAACGTTCTTTCCTACATAAAGACTTAAAATAGTTCTGAGTATAGTGGCACATGTCTGTAATCCTAGCACTATGTGAGGTTGAGGCAGTAAGATTAAAAGTTCCAGCTTGGCCTGGCAATTTAGCAGTTTGGTAAGTCATGTAAAAATGGCTAGAGATGTACTTTAGTGTGAAGGCCCAGTACCACCAAACCAAACAAACAAACGAAAAAAGAAAATAGTTCTAACGTTACCTCAGAGGAGTCTAGGGCTGAATGAGGTGTATGTAGAATAATTGTTAAGGAATAGAGAAGGGAAATTATTTAATTCTAAGATTGAGAATGTGGACAGGTATGGAGTCAGGAATGAATGTGAGGTGGTGGTAATGTAGTACATAGATTACTGGAAGTTTAAGAGGGTTGGTGAGGGCCTGGTAATGTAAGATTTCGAAAAGTTTTGAAGAGATCAATGTCTTATTTTGGGGTAAACTTGAAACTTATTGGCTGTTTTCGTTACTTTTCTCTTGTTGCTGAGACAAAATACCTGATACTCAAAAGTTAAAGGAGAGGGTTGGGAATTTAGCTCAGTGGTTCCGCCGCCTGCTTTGCAAGTGCAAGGTCCTGAGTTCGGTCCCCGGTACCTAAAGAGGAAAGGGTTTATCTTACAGTTTGTAGATGTTTCAGTCCATACTTAGCTGGCTCCAAGGCTGAGTGGCATGTGGCAGAGCAACATCACAGAGGAGAAACAGTTCATAGTGTCCATATGGAAGCCAAAGCAGCAAGGCAGCTT